AGTCCTCCCCCAGGATGTCCTGCATGTACGTGATGTGCTCCGCAAACGGGGCAAAGTGGGCGAGGAGCCGTTCCGCCCATTTCCCGCGCATATGGAGTTCCAGCGCTCGCTGGGTCGTGGGCTCCATTTCCCTTATTTTGCCCGGACGCCAGTGCCTCCACTTCAGAAGCTCCGGTTGTTGGAGTGGGGGTGGGTCATCTCGTGAGAACCACCTCAATTGGTCCTGGCGGTCCCATTCATTCTCCAGCGGGGAAAAGTCCTTGCTCGGCTTGCCATCCGCCGTCGCCAGGAGGAGGAATATGCTGTCCCACAGGTCGGCCAGGTCCGCCGCGGACAGAGGCTGGGGAAGCCTGCCTGCCGCCGCCGCCACCAGGCCGTTGAAGTATTCCGTCGGGACCACGTGGGCGTCTTGTCCTACCGGAATGCCCGAGAGTTCCAGGAGCTGAGAGAAGCGGATTGCCGGCTCTCCAGCTTCCTCCCTCCTGCCTTGGCGCAGGCACATCAGGACCAACAGCTCCCCGTCCGTCTGTCTCGGGGAGAAGGACTCACCCGCCAACGTGTCCCATAGGACCCTTGGAATGCGGTCCCAAAGACGTGTGTAGGGCGGGCGCATAAGAAACTTGGTAGATACCCTAGCCATGATGAAAAGGGGGTTTTGAGCCTCCTATCGAACCGCCGGGACCCAACCGCGGCACAATGCATGCATGCTCCAACCTTGCAGAATGCAGAGTGCAGATGGAGCAGGCAGGCCACACGCATCCCGACACGTCCCCCCCAAAGTCCCGAGATTTTAACAGGACCAGCCGCTCATCCCTGACCCTCTTGTAGAACTCCATCCGATCGCGGATCTGATTGTACAGCTGCTCCGGGGGCTCGTCCATCACCAACTGCAAGCAGGTGGCCTTATCCCTGTGCCACCCCGTGATCTGGAGCAGCCTGGTCCCCCCGCGGCTCGCCTTCCAAAAGCCCTTGCAAAATCTGCACATATAGCCCCCCGTGGTCTTGAACTTTTCCTTGTTCGCCTCCTTGGGGAAGTGCTTGTTGACGTACTTTTGGCCCGCGACCGCCGTCACCGTGGCCGTGGTGATGGGCGGGTACCGCCTGGTGCCCTGGTCTGGGGTGCGGAGCGTGGTGTCTGCCCCCCCCCGGGGGGGGAGCAACCCAGCTGCCGGATGAGGCAGGGCCTGCATGCCCTCCTGGAGGGGCGCCAGGATCGCCATCTCGTTGTCCAGCATCTCCTCAGTGACCAACTCCTTGCGCAGCCGCCTGGCCGAGGCCTCCTCCGGAGTCGGCTCCCGCTGCTCCCGCAAGGCCTTATGCAGCTCCTCCTTCTTCCTGATCGCCTGGTCCACCTGGGGATGGTAGAGCTCGAAGCTCTGAGCCTCCGCCTCTTTCAGGGACCGCTGCACTTTGACCCGGATCTCCTGGCTTTCCCGGACCTCGTCATCCGCCTCCATGGAAAGGATCTCCTGCCGGATGTCCACCCGCATGTTAAGCGGGACCGCATCTGCCATGGTGATCTCATCAGCCGAGTCCGTTTTTGGAGGGGCTCTCCCCAAGACCGTGCCGTCCACCAAGTTGCGGTCGGCCTGCGCCAGGGTACCACCGGGGCCAACGGCACCCAGGCTTCCCCATTCCTGCTGCTGGATCCAGATTGGCTTGCCCTCCAAGATGAGCAGGTTGTAGGTGATGCCGTCCGCCTCATAGGTGGCCGAGGGTGCCTGGAAGGCTGCCTCTGGCCACCCCGTTCCGCATGCCTTGCACATGAACTTGTAGTCGGAATGACCTGCGTCGAGCCTGTACATGCGCTGGGTGCCGATACACGCCTTGTTCCTCTGGAACTGCGAAGCCCAGACCTCCTCCTGGCGGAGCTGGATCTTCATCGGGACGTACGCCTCCAAGATGCGGATCACCAGGTCCTCCGTGAGGTTCTTCCCACCAAACTTGTAAAACAGGGAGACCGCCTCCTCCACCGTGATGTCTCTCAGCAAGGTGGCCGCCGACGCTGGAAGGACTGGAAACAAGTCCGGGAGGTCCACCAGCTTGAAGTACCCGGGTTTTCCGTCCACCGGCACCAAGGTGACAGGTTTGTTGGCCTGAGACGTAGCCTTCTGAGAAGCCGCCACGAAGCCCTTCAGTCTCTTCGTGGGTGGCGTCTGCGCCTCCTCCGGTGGTGTGGCCCGCTCCGTGCCGTCCGCATCCCCATGTCCTTGTCGCCCTCCTCGGCGGGGCCAGGGGCACCCAAGCCGGGAGTCGGTGTGGCAAATGCCACTCGGAGACGCTCCAGTGCACTGGAGAGGTCCTTCATCACATCGGTCGCCGAAGCTGACGGGGGGGCCTCGGGCTCGTCCAAAACCACGCCGGCCGCCACTGCCGCCTCCCGTGTGCGAATGTCCTGGGCCTCCTGGCTGGCCATTTCAACCTCCTCCACGGTGAGTGTCTGGTCCTCAATCAACTCAATGGAAGTTGCCGAGGTTGCCGAGGAAGCCATTGCTTGGTC